TCATGGCAGGGACAGAATTTCATCTCCTTGAGGATTTCACAAGTAGAAACTACCCAACAATTGCTTGGAATTGTTAAAAATAGGTATAATCCTAAAGGAAAGAAGTCACAGAGAGAATATTCAGCAAACACCAGCCTGCAGATAACATGGTACACTGGATATTGCTGCCCTGACTTGGTGTTTATGTTTGCCTGTGCACACAACTGTAGTATCTTGAACAATGCAGTAACAACTGAAAAAATCATTTCATAAGAGGTGGTTTTTTTCAGAACTGGGTGGAAGCTCTGAAGCCAAATGCAGAAGGATGGGGGAGCAGCTGTCCTGGGAATAATATGCTGGGAGTTATCGATCAAGATCAGTCCAGTGACACAGTTAAAAATCGGGTGTACCACAGAGAAACTCCTGCTGTCCCTCCAGTGCTCTTTACACCCACCACATACAAACTGACAAACAACCTGTAAAGGTTAAATTTGGGAGCTTGGGGTGCTCTCAGGACAGTGCCCCAAATCACATCGAGGCCAGACACATCACATGAAGATACAGTACAATAAAATAAACCAAAGGGTGAAGCTGAACCACTGAACTGGAACCAGCTGTGAAGCAAATTCCTGCCACCAGGAGCAGATTTATTAACCCTGTTCAAACTTTTACATGCCCTCCACATTTCAGCCCCCCAAACAAGGTTGGCTGTACTTAGTTTTAGATGGCAGATACCCTTATGGTTATAAATACAGATCACTATTCTCCTGCTTTTACTAACAATGGCATTTTTCAAGCCAGTTGCAACTTGTGTGAGTAAACCATATGAATTAAACACCACATACTTAATTCTTTACCAACCTTTCTTTCAACAGTGCAGCAACAGCTACAACTATAGCAAGTGCTGATGGGATTTATAACTGGGTCCTGACTATAAATCATATTTTTTATCAGCCTTAGGAAGTTTTTATTGCTGTTTTCATCCTTCATTTTCTATGTACTATCTCCTGGGATCAGGAGGACCTATATCAAGGTGTAACTCTTACTACACACCCCAAGAAATAGCACAGATGTTTTCCTAAGCAAAGATAAAAGATTAACGTAAACCTGTAGGGATTCCAAGGAGTCAGTTTGAAGCAATAACTTTGTTCTGAGCCTACTGTATGTGTGTTCGTGGTAAAATTCAAAAGATTCACACAAAGAGCTAGACCCAGCCCTGCTGAAACCAGTGACATTTGTCCAGAGGATGGAGCCAACACGCTGGAAATGCGTCAAGGGCACGGCACGGGATGACAAACTGCTCCATCATTAGCTCTTAATTTAAGCTTAGCCCTCCTTTTTAAGGAGAGGGGGTGAGAACAGCAAACAAACCCCATATCCATCACCACATCCACACAGTTCCCAACTCCTATTTATAGTTGTGCTTCAAAATTAAAGAGAAATATGCAAAGCACGATGGCAGAGGGGAGAGAGAAGGAACAGCTCCGGTTCATGGCTGTGGCTTTATTTGCAGAGTGCTGCCCACACTCAGCACTGCTGCAAGCCCAGCCTTTGCCAACACCCAGCTTCTAACAAAGCTGCAAAGACTTCTCCTGGAGTTTCCTAGACAGCAAAAATGACTAGGTTTCCATGGCTAAGATGCTGTAATTACTGACAAGTTCAGGCAGGCAAACAGCTCCTGTGATTTTTCTGACTGTTACATGACATTCTCCTGTCCTTCTTCCACCACCTGGACCTTCCTGCATGGCAGCACCAGCAACTTGGAGGCTCCCAGGGCTCTGCCCCTTCTTAGAAAAGCTCTAAGAGTCACTGCCTTGTTTTGCTCCTCTTACTCCAAATGCTTTATAAAATTAACACACTAAGTTAAAAGAAAGCACAACCAACATGAAAAGCCAAGGAACTATTTAATAGCTATTTTAATCTAAACAATCACAAGTAGCTTTTCAACAAAGGATTTGAACAGTTCCAGATTCACCTTTTCTGACTGATTTTGAGCCACCACCTGACACACCACAGATCAGTCACACTTTGCCTTGCAATCACTCCAGTAAATCAGGGCCTTGGGTCATTTCAGACCTTGCATTCCTTGGAATGTAACAATTCCCATCTTAACCATTTAAAACCAGACCTTTGGCTCTTCACAACCAACGTGGCCTCACAAGGTGCTGCAGAGAGGAGCCCTGAGCAGTGCTCAGCCCTCAGAAGGGATCTGGGGAGAGTTTGCTAGAGCACAAATCATTTTAACTCAGAATCCCCCAAACTGAACTGACAGAAAACAAGCACAAACACCTGGAGCTTTGTGCACTACATGGGATGTTCACTCGCATTTCTTTTTACACGGCCTGAAAACACAGCTCAAAGTCATTTGTACTGTTAGAAGTGGTGCTAATTCAGTTTTGGAAACAGCTATCTGGGTTATCCCACACAAGCAGAGTGCTTTTGCTCAACTCTTTTTAAGAACACAGCACTGAATGCTCAGAATCCACAAAAATGCCCAAAAAGGCTTAAAAATCACACCTTTAGGTCCTCCTTTTATAAACCAGAAACTCAGTGACCTTCAGTCCCCTTCATTCCCATTGCACACACAAAGGGAAGAGCACTATTTCTTCCAAATACTGTAAAATTTACCATTTCTCTTGTAAATTCCATACAATTTACTATTTCTGTCGATTTTTCTCTTCACTTCAAGTGAAAGAAAACACTTTCTGTGCCGCTCACTCATCCCTGCAAACTCAAAATTGTCCCCCCCGAAGAGTCAAGTCAGGGATTTATCCCAGAGAGGTATGAACTAATAAGCGATAAAAACCAAGGTGTTGTTTTCTATTATCCCATCGAGATGGGGGCTCTTTTTAGAAGTTCCCCGGCGAGCCGTGGAGGAGTTGTGCGGGCAGAAGCTGCACTCTGCTGGCCCCAGCAGCGAACAGCCAGCGCGCAGCTCGGCCCGCAGCAGGAGCAGCGCATCCCTCGCTCAGCTGAGCACTGCCGCCCTATGGCAGCAGGTAAATTAGGGAGCAGCACACGGAATCGCTCACCTTAGGGGTTTACTCTGCCCAGGGAGCTCCCTGCAAACCTGGTGGTCTCCATTTCTGTGCCACAGAAAGGCCAGGCACGGTGAGGAGCTCCCACCAAAGGGTTTCCCAAAAAGGCTCCACAAGCGGCGCTCCCTGGAAGTAAAGGGAGGGATGCTTCGTGCTGCTCTGAGGGAAAACATTTTTGTAACCAGTTCACTCAACAACAAAGTAACTCTCACTCTGGTTGCCCATCCCTCTGATTTTCTGGTGGGGCTCAGATGATTAAGTGATACATTTTAACGAAAGAGACTTTGTTGTCAGAAAAAGTAAGTTAAGAATTTTACTGAGCTCTGCAAGGCATTCTCTCTACCAGGATTTGGGAAGGGAAGGGGACTTCCCAACATGAACAGTGGCCTGAGATCAAGGGGGCCACAGCTGCACTGCTGTGGTAGAGGCTCTTTGTTCTTGCCTGCAGAGTTTGCTCTAATAAACGATTTTTCCCCCTCAATATTGTTTCTCCACCCCCCCCAGCTGCTGCCTCAGCTAAAGGGAACCACTGTCACGTGTTCATGTACACCTCAGGGCACTTGCCCAGCTTTTACAAGTTACCACAGTCATAAATCTCCCCCCACTTTAGGGTTTTCCAACCCAAATGCCCTCATTTATGGCAAAAATGAGCAACAAGTGTTTCAGGTCCATCTCCCAATTTCTTCCCTCTCCAACCTCAGGAGTATTCCCCTCACACACCTCAGCCCCAGCTCTACACCCACTGCCAAAGCATATTTACCACCTCAGAAAAGCACCTTTGCTTCAAAGACACCATGCAAATACTTAAAAGACATATTTGCAGAATCTCAAATGTTACAGCAAGCAGGTTTGTGTATTTAGTAAGTAAGTGTACACAAACAGCCTCCCATTTGGCATCATCCCCTGCCCCACTGACCCGAAGCATTCCTGTTTCCTGGGGAGCTGGTGACACAGAAAGCAGCTCAGCAAAAAGTGGCACAAAACACAAAGGTAACTCCTTCAAGAAGAAGAGCTTGTTAAAGGGAATAATCCCCCTTTAAGCAGAGGGAAACATAATCTTAATTAATAAAATCTTGCAGTACATGTATATATAATGATTTCACAAGATCCCAGACTTAAGGCATCAGCTTAAGTGAATGGAGGCTATTTCGACTGCCAGAGAACCCAAATCCACAGCTCCCAGAAACCATCAGAGTTATAATTCAATACCTGACCAAGGACATTAAAATTAAACAACAAAAGAAAGGACTACAAACCCAAAGTATTTTCTTTATTATTCTGCTCCTGTGGTTTTCCGTTGTAACTGCAAAAAAAAAAGCAACTACTTTCCTGAAGTTCTTCGCTAATTTCAGATTTCACAGCAATAAAAAATGTAACTCAAATGGCTTAGAAGTTTAACCCTCAAAAGAGAAAAGCATGATCATGACATACAGGCTGCACATACACAAACACTTTAATTACTACCATACCCAAATAACAGTCCCAGAAAATAAAAGTGTCCTCAGACGACTGTTCAATCCTCTGCCTTGCTTGCGTTTTATAGGGTGCAAAAATAAAATTTAAAAAAAAAGTTACACCCAGCCTACTTCAGATATCACAGAACGGGTTTGGGACATCTGTAAATCCTTCTTACAGGTTCAAGCCCTGGGGTAAGAGAAATACCTGTTGTGGACATCTCCAGCTTACTCAGCAGGCCAGCGAGGTTGGGGATGAGCAGAGGCTCGAGCTCAGTCACCTACCTCTTCTGCTCGAGTCCATCTGCATTCCCAGGGCACGCAGAGTGCTCTGCCATCAGGGAGCAGAGCAGCACAGAGCCCTCAGGAAACCCCCAGGAGGAGGAGAGAGGGCTGGTGATGCCCTAAAACAGCGTGAGACACAGGGACCCCAACAAACCCCTCAAATGGCACCATCTGGTTTGATGTAATCACCCAACTTCTTCTTCCTCCTGGAAAATCCCTCCTCCAAGTCAAAGCTTACACCCACCTGCCACAGACACCTTGATTACGGAGCTCATCCCAAGGAGTTTCCTGAGGAACAGTGAGCCATACCCGGGTTATTGCAGCTCAGGAAATCCAGCAGCATCTGAAAGCCAGCACAAGAGGAACAGCAGGGAATTAAATTAAAGTAGAGCTGAACATGACAAGGGGAGAAAACCAAGTAAAACATACAAGAATTTATTTTAAAATCAAGCTATTTTAATGTACACTCCTAAAGCGTCTTCAGAAAGGTAGGATGAGAGAGATGTATCCTGCTAAAATGGGTTTATCAGTTCCAAAGAAGTCACTTGCTCAGGTGTGGCACCTCAGGGCTATTTAATGATGCCAAAATTGTTCTTCGCAGTGTGCAACAAAGGCTGAGCTGTCCTACCTGGGCACGGTGGTGTGGCTGGAGCATGACTGGGCAGCTTTCCTGGAGCAGTCACAGCTACAATTTTTTATCTTATTGTATTTGACTGCAATGATGGGAAATAAATCACTGTCAGGCTGGAGTGTTTGTTTTATTTTATGTTAAGGTAAGTGCCATCTTGAGTTGCTTTCCTAGAGCCAGGTTGGTGTAACGGGTTCCCCTTTAAAATAATGTAACAGATAAAATAATGAGTTCATGCAACTTCATGACAAAATAATGTAAGGAGCTCAGTTTAATCTTATATATCAAGTAGCATGTAAATTTAAATTTAAACCCTGGAGGGAACAGAGCCATAAGAAGCCACGCAGGGGAAGGGTGTTTGCAAAGTGGTCACTGTCCTTAGTCATGGAAGTTGCTCTGTGTTAATCATTCCTTAAAACATCCACACTTTTTTTTTTTTTACAAGTGTCTGGAGCACTTTAATGACACATTTATGGAGCTGGAGGATGGGGAGTGGATGAAGATGGGCAGAACTGGGTGATAAACTACAGATGTCCCCTGGCCAAAATAAACAAGGGGCTTAAGACTAAGTGGATCATAACTAATTCCCTCACGGAACTTGGAAAACTTTCATGTAGATGAGGTTTCTGCTGCACCAGCACACCCAGTGAGCTGCAGAGGATGGGGCAAGGACATACTGGCCAAAAGGAAAAAACACCTACTTTTATTAACAACCACAGGGTAAATATCAGTAAGACTCATACAGCATAAAATGATGGAATAATGTCGTGTACAGGTATTAAATGTGTTTATTTCAGTGTGGCAGAGGCTGCTGGAAAAGGCTCAAAAACTACTGCTGGTCTCCTGTAAGCTTTAATAATAATCTAAAGCATATTAAAATCAAGTTGATGTTTTTACTCAATGCTTTCCACCAGTGCTTTGTACATGCACATCCAAGCTTTGGGTGCTTCCAAGGGCTGAAGGAACCTGGGGAAGTCAGTGTTTTCCTCAACTGCTCCTCTGAGCAAAAGTCTCCAGGAGAAATTCACAGGCTTTGTGTGACTTGGGAGACTTTGAAATGGTTCTAGCAGGGCTTTCTGAGAAGAAATCTGCATTTATACATTATTATGGAGGTTAAATTATCAAACACAGTAAATAAATCCCTACTCTGAAATCTCATTTTACAAAAAAAAAGAAAAAGCCATACTAAGGATGGAGTTCAAAAATTCTTGGCAGGTTCAAGATTTTTATATTAAATCTCTGCAGGTGCCTCCCTTGGGCTCAACTGGTTTGAGGTTTGCTTTGGGGTGGTTGTTTGAATTTCCAGCCAATTCCTCTTGCTTTTAAATGGAAAAACTTGGCCAAATAAGTACAAATCCCAAATCAGTGGAAACAGAAAGTGTGCTGCAGGTGTCCTTCTGAATGGGACAAGAAACGGGATAAATATGTATCATTGAATTGAATATGGATCTAGGGAGGGAAAAACACCAGAGGAAAAAATTTAATGAGGAGGGAAATAAAATGCAAATCTTCTTTAATAAATCCATCATAATTTTGCTTTTTTTATTAGGTTAAACATTAGTTTTATTTGCTGCCTTGTATCTTGAGTGGAATCCAAGTTCTGGAATCCTTTTCCTGTTACAGTGGTGTGCCCATAACTTGATAGTCCATGATAGGGATGGAACATTCACTTCTTATTTTGGTGAGGGTGCAAAAAGCTACTTGATGGTTTTGTTTTAAGTCAAAAGATCTATTTTCAATGTTCTTGCTTGCAAACCATTTAACCCCTTCAAGGCATGTTCAAATAAAAAAAAAAATTACAAATATTAATCGTTATTTTTAAAGGCATAATCTGAAAAGTACTTTATGTTGTTCTGGAATTATTTTTTTTTTATAACCAGACACAATCATCCCAACTATAGAATTCCAAGGTCAGATACAAGCTCTGGCTGTGTAGAGCTGCTGATGACAGAAGTGAGGGGGGCAGGCTGTCACTTGTACAGATAAATTATTGAGACAAAGTGCCAGTATAATTTGCCATGAGCTAGAGAACAGCAATTTTAATGAGTAATAATGACATAAAAACTTTCAAACAATCATCTATTTGTCAGCAGTGAAGTGAAGGTGAATTTGGGAAAACCCTGGGAACGTTCTTGCTTTGCCACTTAACATATTTTTGTACCCAGTAAAACTGTACCAATGAATTCTGAATGTGGATAAAGTTATGAGCCCTTATGCCCAGGCCAAATCCCAAGTTTCTGATCATTTTATCTCTCTTTTATGTCCTGCCAAAAAGATAAGAAACATGCTGGCAGAGAAGAAAAATTATTTCTTGGATTGTGAATCTGTTTCCTATAAATGCAGCTTTAACAAAAAAATCCAGTAAACAGAAAAGATCGGTAACACAAGAAGTAATATCAAAATAGCGTTTGAAATAAAAGAGTAGTAAGTAATTAAGGGGATTTTTTATTAAATATTTGTCAAATTTAAATCATTAGCTCCAGATGGCAGACGAGTTTAAAGCGATGTGTGACGATTAATGTTAATTTAATCCCACATGGATCTATCTTACCGTTGATGTGATCAGATCTCCACAGAAATAACATAAATAATGCTAATTACTAATCTATTTTGCATTCCACTGAGGAAAGAATTAATGAAAGAATAAAACCACTGTCCCCTGAGTGACACTCTGAGCATGTAACAGCACAAGTCTGTGATGAGGGAATGTCGACTGTCTTAACCCTCCTGGTGCACTTAGGAAAATACTTTGGTGTTCCCGGTTTAAAAAAATACTGAGGATTCCTGTTCTTACCTTACCGAGGAGGAAAGTGAGGACTGGTCTGATGGAGGAGTCTCTTCAGCTGCTGGACAGGAGCCTGACCTTGGATTTGGTGTCTCTGGATGTTGTTGCCACACTCCCATTCCCAGGCGCTGTTGTGGGACCTGTAACTAATACAACTGTAAGATTAGTCAATGAAAGGATTCAGGGGGTGTAATCACAATTCTTTAGCTTGAAATGTGTAGGGGTTTTTTGGTTTTTGAGGGATTTTTTGTGTGTGTCGTGAGCAAGGTTTGTCGGTTGGGTCGGGGTTTTTTGGCTTTTTCTTTTTTTTGGTGGGAGTGTTACAACTCTGAACACAAGAGGCACAGAACAAGGTCTTTTGAGCAAAGAAATTCCAAATACCTGTATTTTTTCCGCTCAGGAAAGGCCGCGAATTTTTGGCGGTAACGTTGGTCCCTCTCCCCGGCGCCATCTTGGCTCCTGAGGCGCCAGTGGCGGGAAAAGGCGGCACTCGGCGGAGATGTCCTCTCCCTCACTCCGAGACGCGTTTGGGCAGGTTTTCCCCCAGGTTTCATCCTAATCTTGCTGTAAAGCCGCCTCAGGCGCCGGTTCGAACCTTTTTCTGACACTTTTTACCTCAGAATTCGAGCGTCGTCGAGGTTTGCGGCGTTCCCGCCTTCGCGCGCTCTGCGCCGCCTGACCCCCCTCAGCCGCCGTAGCGCCCGTACGGACCCGAAAGCGGCGCGGGAGCAGCAGAGCCAATGGGCTCCGGCCTTACTGCACGGGGCCCCCGCCCGCAGCCAATCGCGCCGCAGCCTCTTCCAGCCGTGGGCGCAATGGCGGCCGCCAGGAGCTGCGGCCGCGCCGCGCTGGGCGCGCTGGGCCGCGATGGCGGCGGGGCCGCGGCGCGCTGGGGAAGGGCCCTGCCCGCGGGCCGCTCCGCGCTGCGCTGGGTGCCCGCCAGGAACGCCGCGGCGGGGCCCGGGCAGCGGCAGGCCGTGACGGTGGAGGTGGGCGGCAGGTGAGGGGCTCTGAGGGGAGCGGGTGCGGCGGTCAGGGCTGTCCCGGCGGGAGAGGAGGCGAACGTGAGGGGAAACTGGTGCGAAAGGCGGAGTTTGTCGAGATTGGCTTAACTAAGGATGTTCTTTGATGGCGATCTTTGCTGATAGGCTTGAAAACACACAGAGAATGAGCCTTAATCGGTGGAATCATCCTGGTCATCCCTCAGGGGGATTCGGGAATAACGAGCCCTAGGGATGCAGTAAATTGAGAGGCTGATGGGTGTCTGTGAGTACAGCTTGACAAAATGTCCAGGGCATGGCTGGAACTCCAGCTGACAGGAGAAAGGAGCAGGACACTCGAAGCAAAAGCTCATTCAGGTTAAGGAAATTTGGTCACTTTTGGCCAAAGAGTTTCGGTTTCCATACCTGAGGTGGATGTTTGTCTTGTGTGAAACGTAACCTTTGTTCTGTGCAGCTGGGGCTGCAGATTAAAGCAGAATTGCTGGAAAACTTACTGGAATTCATCATGAGTAACAGAGTGTGTCTTTCCCTTAGGAAGATGGAGCTGTCTTCTGGAAAACTCGCCAAGTTTGCTGATGGATGTGCTGTTGTTCAGGTAAAACAAAAGAAGTGGTGAAAATCTGTGCAACTTCAAAGTTTCTGCATCTTAAAAGTCATTCTTAGGGAATCAGAGCCTGTTAGATGTGGGATATAGAGACTCGAGGAGCAACTTAATCACCAATGAAAGGACAGTGTTTTATAGGAAAAAACTGTGTTTGAAAAGCAAAAATATTGGCATAAAGACTGGGTTTATGTGGTTGTGTCCTGCGAAAAATAATTGGGTTTTATAGTTTAGTTTGTGAGTAAGGTAAATTCAATTTTTT